AGACAGTACCCCCCCCCATCACACACATTATTGATATATCATTACAATATGTGAACTTTTATTGTAATTTAGCAATGAATAATATTCAGAGTTGTTTTTATAGATAAATGTGTATTATTTATACATATAGCAACAGGAGAAGCTGATTCGTTAGAAAAAAGATCTTCACATACCATTTCACAGTTTTGTGTAGCAGAAGAAGAGAACTCTAGTATACTTCCCCAAAAGACTGAGGTAATTTCTATTATTTATATATAACTCACAGTATTCTTTATGTAGCTTTAAATACACTGTGGACAGATATATGTTATGAATTCAAATATAATTACAGAATCTAGGATTCTACATTGTTTATTATCGATCTGGCCCATGAGTGGATTGCTAAGCTGCAATCTGGGTTACCACTGATTTGAAGTTGGGAACTCAAGTCTCAAGCGAGATTGGTGGTGCAGCACATAGACTGCTACTGTATTCTTTTAAATGTTTGCTCAAGCATATCTTTTATGTATGCTTTTAACTCCAGCTATTATCATCAACATACAGTGCAATGAAATGTTTAAAACTAAGAAATGGAAATATGTACATACCTTTGGCTTTTCATAAAATTCTTTTGAAACTTGATTTTTTAATATGCATAATTTCACGTCTTTATCTTTTTACTTATTGTTTATTTTAATTTTCCTTTCCAATTCTTTGTATTTTATCATGTGGATACATTATCTGGAGCCTGCGGGGCTTTATTATTATATGGTGACTCCTGTACAGACTCATTTCACTAATGCTTTGCATACACAAATAATGCCATGTTGTTTGTACACTTTCACAATCCAAGCGACAACAGTTAAATTAATAAAAATCATTAAACCTCACAAATATTATTTTTAAAATACAAATTATACATAATTAACTAAAAGATAAACGTGAGACCTAAATATAATTTAACTGTCTCTCTAACTATAACATTTTTAGATAAGAAACCACTATAGTTGATCATGTAGACAACAATACTGAGAGCATCTACATGTACACTGTGAGAAAAACTGCATGCCAATTACCGATTAACTGTGTAAACTAAGCTCTTTCTAATGACTACATACACTTGTGTCTACTAACTACATGTACGTTGTAGAACTCAAGGCAGAGTATAGAAGGTGGGCATGGCACCCATCAAGGGTTGGGGAATTTATAGCTGTTCCCCAGACAAAGCAGCTACAGACTTTAAATACCACTTGTCAATGTCAAACACATGTACTTTGTGTCTACATACTCATGTACATTGCCAGCTTATGTGGGTAAGAGTGAACTGCTGCTAAAGCCAAGATTTTCCATAGTTCATGGATCACATGACACAAAAACTGCAGTTTAAGTATTTTTTGAAAGATTTTCTTTGAAACAAAAGAATTATAATTCAAACTATAACATACATTATGGTGCTACTATAGAGTGCAGTCTACCAGGACTTTTACACTATAGCATGCAGTCTACCCAGACTTTTACACTTAGTTAAATAGACAGGTCAAGTCAGGTCAGGTGGGGTCTTCCATGATCCCTCTGGGGTAATAGGGTCCAGTGGGCCTTGGTAGACTACGGATACTGTGGTAGACCGCACGTTATAGTAGCACTTACATTATAATGTTAAAGTGATTGATATGTATTGAGAGTAAAGTAGTTTAATTAACTTTTGAATGTAATGCATTACCATACACAGAAAGGTATTTTAAAATGGCACCTGGGGCCATAGGGATAATTTGTTCATCCACTAGGATCTCATTCTTTTCTGAATATATCTCTGTATTCTTTTAATAATCTCATCGGTCCTTGCTTATGCTTGTAATGTACTTCTAGTGGTGTGTTATCCCAGTCACTTTTAAAATGTTTGATATTATGGTATGAGACTAAAAGAGTTATATCAAAAGGATTATGGGCAGATTTTGATTATGTTAGTATTTGTTTCAGTAAAATACTTTCTTCCTTCAGAAATTTAAATATCTTTTTTGGCCAAATACCTGAAAAAACAAACTATTTTACCTGAACCAATAATAATAGAATTAAAATTCTCCCTTAGTTGTACATCTGAACTATATGGAGTCCCTAAAAACCACAAACAGTATCTGTTTTATTAGATCTGCTGTTTAAAGTATGTTCCATCATAGGTGTTGAAGATCATGACTTTCCATTTCTCTCTGTCCCTGGTGTTCTTCAACAATTCTGTATTGTTATTCATGGTTCCTAAACATTTTGTGTGTCCATCAAGCATCGTTATTCCTTATCCTCCTTTTCTTCTATTTCCTTCTATTTTGCCGGTTGTTACTATATGCTGGATCTTTTTTATCCTCATCACAAGTTTTATGAACTCAGCCTGTCTCTTTCTTATTTTCCTTGTGATGTAGCATGTTGTATTGGCTTATACCAGTACTTGTTTTTGTGCTATTTGCAGCACTCTTCTTAAGAACCACACATCAATTATTTCACGTTTTCTCTGAACTCTCTTTGTTATTGTCATGTTTCATCTCCCTACATAAGTATGGGCTTGATGTAACATTTTTTCTTACTTCTATTTATATACTTTTATTTTTCAATATAGGTTTTACATTTTGAAAGGCATTCTTAGTAAGCATTATTCTCCTTTTAGCCTTTTCTGTGCACTTACCATCTGATGTGAGACCAGATAGTTGAAACAGTGAATTTGTTTGATTTTTTACTCCTCAGTTGTAATGCTGCATCTTGGGATATTACATTTCTTGGAGGTAACCACACATTCTTTTTCTTCTATTGAGAGTTAATATTTTTTTTCTTACATTCATCCATAATTATATTTAGTATTTCTTGAAGATCTTTTTCATTTTCAGCAGATAGCATTGTGTCATCTGCATACCTCAGGTTGTTCCGATCTTTTCTATATCTCTCAGAATCAGTTCACTCTTTGTTGAAAAAAGGTATGGGGAAAGAACACATCTTTTTCTGACAAATTTTTTTGCTTCTTAAAAATTGCCAATATCATTTCCTATATTTGTGACTGCATTTTATTCCAAGTACACATTGCTGATGATTCTGAGGTCTTTATATTGAACACAAAGATGGCCTAGAATGTCTTATTCTGTCAAATGCCTTAGAGTAATCAGTAAAAGGTGTATATTTCTGTTTTTTCTATGATAATGCTTCTGTCCTTCATCCTCAGGCATCCACTTGAGGAATATGTCATTGTGTTTTTTCAGTTATGTCTCATATCCTTTTGTGTATACCTTTTATGTCTTGTTTATATTTCAGCACATTGTTTTTCATGCTATTCCTCTTTTGCCTTGTAGCAATGACATCTTATCTCCAAGTTAAATTTATTATATTTTTCATTATCTGTCTCTGCTTGTCTTCTTTTTCCATTGCTTTCTCTCTCTCTTTTTTTTGGGGGGGGAGGCTGTTGACTGAGTGATTGAATTTTTTTTTTTTTCATTGAGATCTTACTTGTTCTATGAAGTGGTTTGAACTGTTCTTTTTAAGTTTTACTTTGTCATTATGTTGTAAGAGATCCATGGTTAATGGAGTTGTTTCTTGTTTTTTTTTCAGTTTCACATGCTGGTACATGATCAATATTAGCTTCAGTTGGCAGGGTTAGACTCCCTGAATGGGGTCCGCGCAACGCC